CCGGCGTATGGACGCTTTCTGCGAATCTTTGGTTTCGTACTCCGACCAATTTCTCTACTCTGTTTGCTCGATGCTTCGTCGCCTTCTCTCTGCTCCGAAATGGTGGTGGCCATTGAAACGCTCTCGCTCATATTGCTACACCATTCTGTAACCTGAGATGTTTCTGAAACTGAAACTGAAACTGAAACTACCCCTTCCTCCGCTTTGCTGGGCAAACCATCCATTGGACTTGGCAAGGATTTTACTTTCATCTCAGGAGTTTTGTTGTTTTGCTCTGTTTGTTGTACCTGTACGCTGCATGGCCTGGCAATGGGCGTCTCTGAGAGGACCTCTTTAACAGTTTCTTCTTCCGGGGTCCCGTTGCCGGAGACGTTTCCTACATGGGTGTCGAACGGTCCCGGATTTTCGTCCGGGACACGAGGCCGACCTCCGTGCAAGGCTCTGCTAAAGCAACAACCCATGAGAGTGGTAAATGTAGAAAATGGAGATGGAGGCTCAATGGAGTGAGATATTACAATTTGAAAATTTGAATTTAACGGTTTAGGGTACTGAATGGGTGGGAAAGCCTTCCGGGCGAGACACTATAGAAACAGAGGGAGGGAGAGAGTGGAGCAGTGGCAGAGCTGGCAGTGAAATGGCTCAACGCCCAGTACTGGGGAAGAAGATACTGTCATTGGCGTGTTTAATACAGGGCATGGGATTGGTTTAAGTTATAAATCAGACAGGGGAGACTGGAGAGTACCCTAAAAAGATGTTTCATGTTGATCACTTCACGTTCCTTTTTAACGTACTTCTGTCAAAAAAAAATATTACCACTCATACAGATACAGGGCACTTTATATCTTTTCCCAACCTTATCTCTGGTTGAGTAGAGAAAATTACCTGACTTTATGTTGACTCGTAAGCAGTTGAACTCGCTTCTGCACTAGAATCCAATGACTGAGGCTGTTGTAGGAACAGGCAAAATGGCATAAACCTATACAAATAAGTAACCAAATACAAGTCCAATTTCAACATTACAAGAACAAAAATACCCTAATGTTCAACAGCAAGAACAGGAAGAAGGGTAGAAATACAGAATGCAGATATTATTATATAACGAGTAAAGAAAAATTAATAGCTACAGTGAATGATATACATCTGCAGCGAATAAGGAGCAAAAAATATGAGAGATGACTAGACAAACCCGTCTAATCATAAGTCCATTTTTCCAACATTTCGAACTAAATGAAATGTGGTTAATTATGTAGGGAAGTTTGGGGACAGATAACCAATAATACAATAATCAAGACTGGGTAGGCTGTGAATTAGAAGCTGCCCGATCTGATTCAATCATTGATTTGATATAAAATTCTCCTGCTTTGTATGAGGACCTAACCATTGGGCCAGATGCCACATACCGAAAACCCTGTTGCAACCAAACACAAAATGGATTTTCAGATAATTGTTGCACCCCAAGACATGACAAGTAACACGTAACTGGAGACATTGGCAAATGAAGGTTATGCAATTCAACATGAAGTAATTATATGTCCTAAAAGGTAAAACATCGACTCTGTTGAAAATTTTGAACAATAGAAGAGGTAAAAGTACAATGGTAGAAATGCAATGGATGGAAGGTATAAGGAATGGGAAAGAAAATTATTCCCCAGCTATCCTAGTTTAGAAAGCATGGTTATGACTTATCAGCATAAAAGAATGATGAATAAAATGATAGAATACTAATAATAGAATTTCCGATAGCCTTAAGACTTGATTAACCAATCACTTGCGGAACAAAGTAAACAATACACACAATCAAGTTGTATGAATACAAGAAAGAGAGAATACCATTTTCATGCCAAGATTTTGATACTTCTCAAAAGCCTCGGGAGTAATGTATTCAGATACAGGCATGTGGCGCTTTGAAGGTCTCATGTATTGACCAAATGTCATCACATCAACTCCAGCTGCTCTCACCTTCTCCATTGTTTGCACAACCTGATCTGGTTTTTCCCCACAGCCTAACATAATGGAAGTTTTTGTAAGTGTTCCAGAAGGTGCAAAGTCTTTGGCCATAGCTAGAACATCTAATGATTGCTTAAAATTAGCACGATGATCCCTAACAGCTCCCTGAAGCTCTTCAACTGTCTCTATATTATGAGCAAAGACGTCAAGGCCTGACTTTGCCACTTTCTCTACACAGCCAATGTCTCCTCGAAAATCAGGAACTGCAGAATCAATAATTCAAGCAACATCAAAGAACAAATTAAATTATACAGGAGAAAAGTAACCAAGGGCAAATGAGCACAGTCATATGATGCTGATTTTTGAGACTGCATTAATACAGGGCAAAATAAGTAGCTTTCTCTAAATTTCTAAGTTGGATCAGAACCAGATAGAATACCTCTCTTTAAAATCAAGTGTCATACCAAGAATCCTTAAATGAAAAATAAACATGACTCTGTCATAAGTAAGGAAAACTAGGGAATTAGTACCCAGTGCCTCAATCAGCATATTTGGCTTCAACACCTTTAGTGTCTGCACTGTCTCTGCAAAATGACCACTCCCTTGATCTGGTAAATCATCGCGATCAACACTAGTGATAACCACGTAATCCAAACCCCATGATGCTATTGCCTCAGCAACATTTTTAGGCTCATTTGGATCTGGTGGAGGTGGAGTTCGTGACGTCTTCACGTTACAAAACCTGGAGTTCAAACAATCCCAAAATAGCAATGGAATCAATATAACTTCTGATGCACTGACATGAAATGTAAGTAATTAAGACGGTCATTACTATAACATAAACAATTTGTTCTAAATCCATTAACGCTCCCCACTAATTTACTTTATAAATGGTTTCAAAGTTGAAAAGTGTTCGGTCGGATGAAACTGCTAAAGGAACATTTTGGTCGTTAAGTACGCAATGGTGCACAGTACAAAAACCAGAATTATCACTCTCCAATCATGAAACACATATAATAAATTGACTAAACAGCACGAAACCGAATCAATAAATCGAATTACTAGCCTGCAACCCCGGGTACAAGTGTCACCAAGAATCATAATAGTAGCGGTGGCAGTGCCGGTTTCCCCACCAGACCAGCATTCCCCCAAGTTAGGGCACTTGGCCTCCTCACAGACCGTATGAAGCTTCAATTCCCGGAGCTTCTTCTTGATTTGAACGTACTTCTCGCCACCGGGTACCGATTCCTTCATCCATTTAGGTTTAGGAAGGGGCTTCTTCTTCGTACCCACCTCCACAGAATACGAATCAGTGGATTGCAGGCCAACGAAGTCGGAAAGTGAAGGCGACTCCGCCGCAAGTCGTTCGCGGAGAGCAGCCAAAGTCCGTGGGAATTGGGAGGAGGTAGCAGAGGCGGAGGTAGAGGAAGAGGAAGAAGAGAAGGATCTGCCGAAGGATTCGAGGATTCGAACAAGGCTTTGGCAAGGGGTCTTCATCGTGGAGACCGGCGATGTCGGAGAAAGCCTTCCCGGAAATTCGATGGCGTCGGGACAGTTGAAGAGCGTTGGTTGGTAGGCGTTTTCAGCCACGGATTGATTGAGACGCCATACCAATGGCTCACTGGGCTCGCTGACGGATATTTACGGCCCAAATTCGAAGTGGGCTTCAGTTTGGGCTTGGTCCAATAAAAATAAGAACACTGACGAAGGGGGTTTTTTCTTTTTTTTGAAATTTGGGATCTAAACATATCTAACTGAAATAACCACAAAAAAATAAAAAATCAAAAATCAAAAGATCATAATGTTTATAAAACTGGTCTAAATTCTATATCTCATGTTCTCTCTTTTTCCTTTTTAATATAAAAATAAATTAGAGTTGGATTGATTTTGATAAGAAAATTGAAATGTAAAAAATAGTACCTAAAAATAGACTATTTTTTTTATTTCAAATTTATAATATATCTATAAACTTTTATCTATGACTAATATTTGAGGGTTGTTTCACAGAGAGATCTCTTGGTGGTCCTACCATGTAGCCTTAATGTTAATGGTGTGTCCAACTATTCTCCTATTATATTAGTATTAGGCGCCAACAGTGAGGGCGAAAGCATCTTATCATAATTATTAGTATTAGGCGCCAACAGTGAGGGCGAAAGCATCTTATCGTAATTATTGGCTTTGATGCTTAATGCCGTTATCAACCATCATCAATGCCAACGCGAGTCGATTATCGGTTTGAATCTCTACTTCACATACTATTGAATTTGTTAGGGGTGAATTTTCCAATCGAATTGCCTCGATACACTTGACCCCTTTATTGTACTTGAGCATCAAAGTTTATAAGTCCCAATCATTTATTTTTATAATCTTGAGAGAGACCTGTCTTAGCCTCCATTTGAATACTCACCCTCCTTCTGTGGGGTAATATATATTTGGTCATAAAGGTTTACATCATCTTTTTATTTTATCTTCATTATTATAAAAACTTCAATTTTGTCTCCATCATTTTAAAAGGGTAGGTTACGTCATTTAATGACCTGTGACAATATCGGACTAAGTAGGTTTTTTTCCCTGTAGTTGGGTGAAATATGATACGTTCTTACAATAATTACCTTACAAAGTAGATTTTTAGATTGTCTTTTTAGATCAAGTAAGAGTAAAGTTGTATATATTCTTAAAATAAAAAGTAAAAGTGTATATTTTAAAATGACAGATTAAAAAATGACATGTTAAAGTCATCATCGTTATTCACTTTCAAGTGTGATTTGTTCGAAAAATCTTCAAATATGACCCTAAAAAACGAAATTGAAAAAATGAGGCGTACTTTTACGAGTAAACGTACAAGATTGTAATGAGGTGACTCAATTGAGACATGTTGGAAGAAGGTCCAAGTTTTTGACTGAGAGTGGGGTCAGAAGATGAAGAAAGAAAACATAGTTTTAAGGTTCAATTCGTGTTATGTATGGGATGTGGCAACCTCAGTCACCCATGAAAGTTGCTGACTAGAATTGTTCTATGATTATCCAAAATGTCTTAATCTTTTAGAATCATCATACCAAACCTTATCCAAACCTATATAACTTTTGTTATCAAATCATCTTTCAATTTTTTCCCTTTTTGTTTGGTTGAGGAAACTTTTGTGCTTATGCGTTATCAATGCCAATTTTCTTTTAGGTAAAATAATATAAGTACCATGTTAAAATAAAAATGAAAGAAAAGAAATAAAAAACTGAGAAGATGACCCTCTACGTACCTAGGTGAGTGAATCTCGAAAGGACGAGATTCATCACCTCAGACCTCATCCATGACTTCGGTAACTACCAAAGTCTGCTTGAGAATGTTGAGGGGATGACTTCCGTCAACTACATAGTTGACACCATAGTGGTATAGCGTACACCGTAATTTTCGACGATGTGAAAAAAGTAACCCCCAATTGTGTCTAACCTACTGTTAGTATATATATGATGACTTATATTTCATATTCAGGTACGAACGTGATTGATAGTTCGTCTTGAGGCAACTTTGAAAATTATTGACTTGAATGTTTGAATGTAGTTTTCCTTTTTCCAGGTCATGCAAACACTTCAGAATATCCTCGTGATTTATCTCGAGATTATACTAATTTTCACAGAGCAACATCAAACTAGACCTATTTTCTTGTCTGGGAAATATTCACATTTTTCCTTTTAAACTAGCTTGCTTCCTATATTTTAAAAACTGAAACGTCTTTGATTTCATTTGCTCCAATCATTTAGACACATGCTTAATAATTTAACGGGTAGAAATTATGTTAACTCAAAACCCTTAATTAGTTCAAGTAAATAATTAGTGCAAATAACTTTGATCAAGTCATCTGGATAGTAAAGCCAAATGGCTAAAATATCACCAAAAATCATCCTTAACAGTGTGATGAAATATCACATCTTAGTTGCATAGGACAAAATTTAAAAGGGAAATGTGAAGATGTGTTCCATGTCTAGAAATGTCCAACTTTTTATTTTATGGGATTGAAGATGTCCTCAAACTTTAGTCTTAGTATATGTGGCAAATTAAATAACTTCTATGTTGTTCAAATTATTCTGCCCAAGTGCCAAACTTTGTTGGCTTGACTAGAAATTGGTGTGGTAGGTCAAGATATTATATAGCCACTTTTCCATCAATTGAAGAACAAATATTTTATTGTTATTCAAACCTAACAACCTTTCTTGTAATAAGTTTGTACGTCGTAAAAATTACCTCCTGTCAAGTCGAAAGAGAAATATCTTTTTTTCCTAAAGGAAGGAAAGAAATACTTATGCAAATTAGTTTCAAGATCGTATTTTACATTTTGCAAATAAGTTATTTTATAGGATAATCCTTTAACTGCTTACATTAATGGTAATTTGTAAGATATTATATAAAAGTTATTAAGGAAGATTTTAAACTGATTCTAAAGGTCCAACTTCTGCCCAACATTATTCACCAAAAAGTCTCAACTTTCCTCGATGCTAGATCGAGCAAGAACATGACTTCTATAAATATATAATAATAATAATAATAATAGATATTAAGTATCATTGTATCATACAAAATTCAACTCTTTGTCAATAATAATAATATAAAACAGTAATAGTAACCTAAACGCATTTTTTCAACGAAATGATACATAGTCCGACTAAATCAATTCGAAAGTCGACCGATTCGAGTAGCTCGATATAAGTGTTAGGCGCAAGATACCTGCACAAGGGATCTGACGTCCATGTCAATTTTAGGTATGACTTAAATGAAAGTCAAGCTAGAGAACAATACATGTTCCTAGGGTGCGATCCCTCATTTATAGGTTTATGAATACTTAGTTGTCTGACAAGTAGTTGGGGAGTAGGTGTATCGAACCATGGATCGCTAGAGGTGTTGTAAGTGATTCTCACCTCACACGTGGTGTATGTTGGTTGGGTAGTGAAAAGTACACGTGGCCCTCATCAATAATCTTGAAGTTTCAGTACCTTGGTTCCATGTATGTGGCCGAGCCGACGTCTTGCGTGGCCGAGCTGATCAAACTTCTTCAAGGCTCATTCTCATCTATTAAGATGAACTACCTAACTTCTCATCGGCTCAGTCGCAAACTTAAAGAGCCGTTGAGACGCCATCGGGAAGATTGTTGGAGAAGTTGCTTATAAATAGACTCATTCACTTCATTTCAATGTATGCAAATACTAAATTCTCTCACGAGTTTAGTTCGGCCAGCTACTTTAGTATCAGAGTATCTTATGTTTTGCAGGTCACTCTTCCAGCTCATCCTTCGAGTAGTCTTCAGTCCGAGTCGGGCTCTCTAGACTTGATCATTTTCTTGATCAAACAAGAGGCAAGTACACCTAACCACTAGTCGCTCACTTATACGGTCAGAAGGCCGACTATGGCTTCCCTCCGAATTGCTTCTTCTGGTTATTCCGACCTTAGGAACCAAAACCGTTGGCTCCGGTTCTCTTCCCCTTGTGACACATGGCTGTTCTCGATCATTCCTCTCCCAATATATAAGATGGGCTATAGGAGAAATTTTTTATTTTCTTATTTTACCATTTATTTTCCAAAGTAATTTATTTTGTTCTTTAATTTACCATTTTAGTTCATTTATTTGTTTTTTTTATTTTATCCATTTAATGTTTGAAACAATAAATAAATTACCATTATTTTATTTCCAGTATTATATGTTTAAATCTGGAGACCGTATTAAAATAATTAAAAAGAAAAACAGCGAATATTATCAAATATGCAATCCGCCAACAATTGAAAAAAAATGAAAATATTAACAAATTATCACAAATATTACATATACTATTTATTTAAATTCCCATCTACCACATAAAAATAGTTGCTTATGATTTTCATCCCAATGTTAATAAAATAGCTTGAGTATCACAAGTCCTATTGAAAAAATATGGAAAAAGTAGGGAATTTTATGTAATTTCACTTTAGGTAGATTCGGTAACAAAGGAAGTGAAGCGATAGGGCGACGATAAAAAGTAAAGAAAAAGTC